AGCCAACTTCTGGAACAGGCTTTTGATCTGAAATTTCACTGAACTCTTGGTGTTCTAGATGTAGCTTAACTGATCAGCCGAAGGATTTACATTGCATATTTTTTTTGTTCAATGGTGGCTAGACTTTGACTGGAATACAATATTGCTGAAGTCATACCAATATAGAATCAAATGAGCTGTTAAAAATTCCAAAAATTCAGCCTGAATTTGCATTTTTTGTTTATAAGAAACCAGGTTGGGGCCATGCTGCTGAAAAACACAGCTGCCTCTGCTACTCGTGTCACTAGGTTTTACAGAATAAAATAGTTCTATTAGCTTTCTAAGCACCTGGCACAAGACCACAAAGAGTTTGATAGCACAGCAGTTATCAAGGGTGAAAGACACATTGCCATTTCTCTCTGTACACACTTGGCAGATGGCAAAATGGGAGGGTACTACACTTTTGGCATCAGGGAGCACACAGCTTGTTAATGTTATCCTGTTTTTAATACCAAGACACTCATCCTGTAATCATTATGAGGGGCATGGTCTTGAAAACAATATCTTTTTTTATTAGTTACTTTTTAAAACAAAAGTGTGGATTTGTATTTTTGGACTATTTAGATGCAATTAAATCTATTTTGTAAAGCATATAAAAATTCTTTAGTTTTGTCTAATTTTTTAGTATGTTTTTATCAAACTATACATTTTCTCTTTTGTTTGTAGTATATTCAGATTATGCTGACCTCATTTTTATTACAAAATTTTAAATTGTTAAGGCTTTAGCCACCTCTACTTCTGTGACCATTTACTCTTAAGACTTTTTTGGTGGGGGGGGTGTTTCTAAGAGTAGATCTCTCTCTTGTTCCTGAATCAGATTTGGAAGATTATTCTACTAAAAGATTTAGGGAACTGACAAAGGTGGATTATAAAGTGAACAAAATACCCTGTACATCTTTCTTCTCCCATATTTCCCTTGAACAATTCTTTGCATTTCTTTTGTCAGCTGGCAACTCTTGAAGAATTAGGCTAGATTTTGAAATTAAATATATTTTGTTGTGGAAGAGCTCTCCTGAAACAACCACGCCCATATTGATGTGTGGGTACTAGATTTTTCAGGTATTTTCCTGTTTTTTATTAGTTATCAAGAAAAGGGGAAAATGCAGCAGGAGAAATGGGTAGGCTGTATTGGGATGGGGCGCATCCCAATACATCCAATGGGGCAGTGGATTTAGGTGCCAAATAGGGAGCTGTAGTGATGCTAAATCTCCTTTGTAAAATTTGTAAATGAGTGCTCGGTCCAAATCCCTCAGTGCCATCCCCATTCTCATCAGTTCTTTTTTGTATTTTCCCCTTGTTTACCTTCCAGTTCTCCTGGTTGCTCCATCTTTCTGTTTCCTTTAGAAACCAAAACACTCAAACAGCATACTACAGCCACATGCAAGGTCCTAATCTTAGGACAAGGATCGTCAGTTATGCTTATAAAATAACCATACCTTGAAAAAACAGCAATTCTGAAAAGGCTCATGGTAGATAAATTAATTGTGAGTTCATAATGTGATGCTTTAGCCAAGAGGGCAGACTTGATTGTTGTATGAATAAAAGAAGTATGGATTATTTCTGCATGTGGTATTAGCGAGACAACTAATAATGCATTGTGTCCTGTTGTAGTGTTCACACTTCATAAAAGATGCTGACAAACGTGAATAGTTTCAGAAAAGAACTAAAAATGATTCAAGGCCTGGAAAACATGCATTACAATAGAGAGTAGGGAAGCTGAAATTATTTAATTTATCCAAAGGAAGTTAAAGGGGTGACTTGATTACAGTCTATAACACCATTCCTGGGGAAAGATTTCTGGTTTTAGAGAACTCTCTTTAACCTAGCAGAAAATTCATGGTTATCTCCAGCACCTAAAAGCTGAAGCCAGTCAAATGTAGACAAGTAATGTACAATTTGTAATTAACCATTTGAGCAAGTTACTTAGAAACATGACAGATCCTTCATTATTTCAAGTCTTTAAATCAAGTCCAGACATCTTTCTAAAAATTATGCTGCTGCTTATACCAAATTTATTGGCTTGAGGGAGATTATTAGGTAAGTGGGGTGGGGGTTGTTTGTTTGGGTTTTTTGGGTGGGGGTTGCTTTTTCTTGCTTGTTCTGTGTAGGAGATAAGGCTTCATTATAAAACCTATTAATATATAGCTTTATACTCCTCAAGGTGGGAAACATCTACATGGTAGGCCCAAATGCATGAGCACCATGAATTTACAGCTGTAGCCATGTAAATTGCTCAGGGTGCCAGATGAATTTGGGGGTAGCCGTAACAGTTTCAAAGAAGCATTGCTTTGTTTCAATCTGTGGGAGCAGGTTGTCAGACTGTGTGGCAATGGTTCTCAACCTTTTTTAGAGTTGAGGCAGCACTGCGTAGACTAGAGACACCCCTCAGAAAATGGCATCTCAGTTTTTGCTTGTTTTTTGACTACAGAAAAATAATAGAGCAATTCTTCTGTATAAAGAACACAGAAAGACAAGAGGTCAGAATATGTTTAACACTATGGATTAAATCTATATTTTTTCATGTGAAACATGTTTGCACACCTAACAATGCTAACATTGTGCAGCACTCCACAGCCCCCCAACAATGATCTCAGGACATCCTGGGGTGCTATGGCATCCTGGTTGAGAATCGCTGGTGGATAGATTGTCATAAGTGAAATAATGGTCATGGAAGTTTCCAATTTCTACTACTTTTCCATGCCCCCCTCATCTCTTGTAGCATAGCCTGGCAAACTAGGATAGTTTCCCCCCTCAGGTTGGGAAACTGATGTTCTAATATCCTCCTCCTGATATACCTTCTGATATTTTTTTCTTGAAAAAAGAAAAAAATAAAGGGAAATAACTCAGAAAATTATTACTACTCACAATCCAAACTGAAATGCTGCTGAGAGCATTTTGGTCCGGCCAATGAGGGCAAAAACCTATTAGTTTTAAAATAGAGAGTGATAATTTTATGAAAGAGATTGTATCACGTGATAACAGCAGAGTACCAGGTGCGATGACTCCCCTGGCAATCCTGTGTTTATACATTGGGTATTTAAACATAAATGCTATGTATATTATGTTATATTTTTATCATGTATGTTATAACCTGTAAAATATATAAAACATCAGTTAGTAGTGATTGGTCTTCCAGGTTTGTGATATATTTTTTGCTGCAGTTATATCACTTATAAAAACCCTTGTAGAAGTGCATGTCTGGATGTTTAGAATAGAAATCCAGTTGTATATATTAGGAATTCAGCTGCTGATATAGTTTTAATAAAAAGAAAATGGGGAGGAGGGGAGAAATATAGGTAGGATTTTCTGTTATAATTCTGCATTCAGTTCCTCCAGGTTACACCAGTAATTAAGCAGAATTTAGCTCCACACTGGGTGTATCTACATGCACATTTTACTTCAGAGTAGACTAATTAGCTCCTCAGTAAAACATCATTATCTACATGTGCAGCAGTATTAGGGCTCAGTAAACTAATTTGCTCTGGTGTAAGATAGTACTACTGTCTTATAGCAGAGTCATTTACTACACTGGAATGCACATTTAGACTCTGACCAAGTTGTATCTGGTCAGCCCAGCCAGCCAGGGGCCTGCTCCGCCCCCGCTCAAATTGCAGCTGATCTGGGTGCATGTATAGATGTTGTGCCTGAGATCAGTTTACTCTGGCTCAAATTGCTCCAGAGTTTATTGCTTTGCATTAATTGCATGTGTAGATGCACCCATCGTTATCTAAATTATTACTTATTATATCTTTGATCTTTGTTTTTTTTCTAATGTTTTCCTGACGGTTCTGTTAAGGTTGCATGCCTGTAATTTCTTTGCATTGTCTTGGGTGCCAGTCTTAAGGGTTCTAGCAAAAGTTATAGGCTAATATTGCACATGTTTGTCTTGCACATCTGAGTACTAAGATGAATCTGTCCAGCCTTGTGTATACCTTAATTTTTCTTCTAGGATGATTCTAGTTTTCTTCAACATTTCATTTTTTGATCCTTGAGAAATTCATCTGACACTGTCACGTGTTTTCTTTATGTAGTTATTAGGAAATAATTTGTTATTTCTAGTAATACTGCCAGTATCCAATAGTCGTAGTTTGTTGGCCATCAGATTGTGTTAGAAAAAATAAATACATTACTTGGGATTTCTCAGAGATGGATACTTTGAGACTAAGAAGGAAAAGTGAAAATTATTCTCCATTTTATTCTGTTTGTACAGAATTTTTTATAATATGGTATTAATGAGTGTGTTGCTCATCAGCTCGAACATTGAGAGCAAGAGTATTTCACAAATTGAAATGGATAATACTACTTTGGCATTTCCTGGTAGATATCCTGAATCATGGACTAACTTCTTACATTGCATGCACAGTTCTTCATAAATATAGTATGTGTAGTAAACTATATTTTAGGCTTTTTATCCTCTTTGGATTAATTATTACTTTTTGGATTATCAGTATAATTTTCTAAATGTATATATTCTTTATCTCTATTTGATTTTGTATGATTTATATATATTTGATTTGTATATTTTTTTTTAGCTTTTGGTGGTGGTGGTGGATTTTTGTTAACTTCTATCATAAATCTAGCTTTATTACCAGGATTGGCCTTTAAATATTGCCATATGTTTGCTGTTAGATAGTTCATTAGGTAATAGTTCCCAAACTAGGGATTATGACCCGAAATGAATTCATGGGCTGTTACATGTAGGGGTGCTAGTCCTAAAAAAAATTCAATGATAGCAGTTGAACTTGGAGAAGAAGCTAGGTTTCTACCAAGAATGATTGGGAATGACTGCCATATGTCCAGTGTATAGATTCATATTTCTATATTTCATTTTCCATCGCTATTTTATGTATCACTAACACTAAATAAATACCTGTGATTTAAAAGTTGCAGAAACTTTTTATCCTAATTGCCTTTCTTACTACAAACACTGTACTTCAATCACTAATTTTAATTTTTTCCAGCATATTCTATTAGCGATGAAGTTTGTCATGGCATTCTTAATACCTGATAAACCACGAGATATCCAGATAAAATTGGCCAGGTTGGAATTTGAATCTCTAGAGGCTCTCAAACGACAGGTAAGGGCAACTCACTTGGCAGAAACACCTGGGGGGCTCACAAGAGAGGTAATTAATGGAAATTTTTACTATAAAAAACCAGCATTTTAAAGGGTACGTGTTATATAGATAAAAATGTTTTAAAAAAAAAAAAAAGAAAGAAAAGTTGCTTATCACTGAAACAATGTTCATTAAAAAAAAGATTTTATTAAAGGGTCTGACTCTTAGGGTCATATTGATCACCAGATTTGGGGGCAGGAAGATTTTTTTTCCCCCAAGGTCAGACTGGGAAGTGCTTTGGATGTTTTTGCCTTTCTTTGTGTCTTGAGATTTGATCCTCAAACAAATATCCCCTCAACCTATATTAACCAAAAACTTTTCTGACATTGCAATGGCAGGACGTTGGCAGTGCCCTCATTTCTGGGTTTTTTTCCATAGTATGTTGTAGATTATTCACGTTTTTTCTGGTTTTCTTCCACATGATTGTTTGAGGTATTGAAGTAGTGATCTGGTGGATTCTTTGGGTAAATGCTTGCCTATGAATGCAGGAAACTAGACTCTGACCCAGTATGGCCTTTCTAGTCCTGTATTCCATTGAAAACCATTTTTGATTGGAATTTAAGTATCCCTTTATAAAATTTGCAACTAAAGCAATGCTCGTCACAAGCAAAGAAAAAGAAAAACAAATATGAAAATGAATAGTATATTTGAATTGTGTACTTTGAGTGAAAAACAAAATGGAAATAGCATTGATGTTTAAAATTTGCAGAGATGTATTCATTTTTTGATAGCCAAATAGGGATTAAAGTTTGTTAATCTGACACAGTCCCTTTAATTTTAGTCGAATATGTCACTTTAGATTATGTTTATTTATTTTTAATGTTTTTATTTATAGTAATATTTATTTTTTCTTCACAAAAAAGTTCAAGATCTGTGAATGCAAAGCTCTACATAAGAATGATGTCTATTATTTCTGGTCAATGAATATTTTTCTTCTCTGAAATGCAACTGTACGTGAACAGCGGTTGGCTACTGTGTGAATGTTAGGCCCCTGCCAGATTTGCAGGTAAAGGTGCAACAAGATCTCAATTGTGATCCACACAATCTCCTGTTTGGGATTGAGCATCAGACCCTATCAGGCCTTGTTGCTGGTGCGGGGGGAGCCTAGGATCATGATCTTGGGCTACCCCTGCCACAGTAAGTAACAAGGTCCTGTGGCTAGGAGCCCCATCAGCTGATCTGCATCATGCCCTCGACAGCTCGGAGCCCCATCAGCCATGGGCTCCCAGCCTCGTGGGTGTTTGGTACACCCCAGCAGCTATGAGTTGTATCATATGATGGGGCTCCCAGCCACAAGGGTACACCTGCCCACATGTTCAACTAATGGCATCATAGGTACTAGCCACAAAGTTGTTACACTTGTTTTTTAAATAACTTTGCAACGTATTCTTTGTTTTATGATGCCATTGCTTTAATGAGTGGCTGAGTCACAAGCTAAGACATAAATAACTGGTTAATCATATTGTAAGTGTAATGTGTGACAGGGGCCTTATTGTAAACGCATTTGGTATGGAATTTTTAAAATCACTGAAATATTTGTTGAGAAAGTTAATCAAAGACTATAGGAAACATTGAGTGAAACAGATTATTTAAATGACATTTATGTTCAGAACTTTCTCCTCTTATTTTAGGAATCAAATATATTTCAGCATTATTTAACAGCCATCCAAGGAGCCCTACCAAAATAAGGAGTTACATTTTTGTACTGCAAAATATTGTAGGCAAATGCTTATAGAGCAAAAATAATGGCGATATTAGTACAAAGATAACCAGTCTGAGGAGTGGGAGGGGAATCTTTTGGGTGGAGCATGCCCATGTGGCTACCCATTGCAATCCATTTTTGGGGAAATCTGTGATAAAGTGAGAAGAGCAGTGTAACTAGTAAAGAAGAAATTTTGGAGAGACTTCACTTTAAAAAGTTTTAACTGAATGATCATGTAACAAAGTATAGATTTACAGGGTAAAGATTAGCAAATATTGTGGTTAAAGTACATAAAATGTGAACAGAAATGTATATCATATTGCAGTGTAGGCATACCCTGAGAATATTGTAGGTATAGCTGGGTAACCTTCCTTACTTTGTGATCTTTGTGTGGAGATAGAAAATACACTTTTTATAAATTCTTCTTTGACATCTGGCAAAATGCTGTTTTATTAATATCAGACAGTCCTGAAACTTTACATTGTTATCATAGTTAAAAACCCACAGACTCGTATGATGGGTGTCCCTATCCAGGTCAGACTGTCTTCCAAAATAAAACCACAAAAATAAAATTGAAATTAAAATAGAATATAAAGCATCATCATTTAGTTTGCAGTTCTCTAATGTATTGAATGTGTTACCAGGAGTCAATAGTGATCTCACATATTCTTTTCTTAACATTAAAAAGAACAGAATTGCTCTATTTTAGTTGTTCCTTTTCTGTTTTCATTTGGTAGACAAGCAAAACTAGGTCATCCACAGGAACCTTAAGCACAAGTGAATACAGCTACCTTCGGTTAGAATGTGCCACTTGGAATCTGCTAAGCCTGTTTCAATGTGAATGTATCTGTCAGCAGTTAAGAACTAATCTCCCACCCTTGTATCTCTGCATTCATTACCATAATATATGCCTGAGCCCCAATTCTTCAGGGTTTGTTTTATTAATCCTGCTGACAGATGGGCATTCTGAATTTCAATAAGAATCAAAACCCTCTGGTTCTTCTGTGCTACTTTCAGTTTTCATCCAACTGCAGGATAGAGGAAAAGCTACATTTAGGATATCTATGATAATATGCACAAGTAATCCCCATTAGATTTTATTGGTAGATTTCCCCCATCTACCTTGCTTTTCTATATATGTTCTGGCAAAATATCTACATTAAAAAAATATTACTGGCAATGTGAAAAAGTATTGAGACATTTATTTAGCATGATTACAAGCTCTTTAGGCTCCAGATGTTAAAGAGCATTACAGGTGGATCTTCTGGCAGGAAGTATTACCTTTTGGAGTTTAACTCTCATTTTAATTTCTCTAATTTAAAGAATTTAAGTGGAGTTAGGTACCCAATGCCCTAAGTTTCTCCAAATTAACTTTTTAAAAAAAGCAAAGGCCAATATGTTTGTGGCTCAGATGTCACTTGACAGCTGCGTCCTCCTCACTGTTATGTGCTGTGTATCCTCTCCCTTTCTTGATTGCTGTCCCTAATACCTGCCAATACACACACCATTTTAATGCATACAATCGGTATTCAAATAATTTCTTTTTCCCATTATTTTGTTCTTGCAGAAGATTCTGACTGAGAAACAGCTTGCAGAGTTCTGCTTCCTTTAGATAATAGATACTAAGTGTACATCACTCTTGAAATTTTGACTTTTGCATTAGTGATTGAGAAGACTTCCAGCTCTTCCATGTCCTAGCTGATTCATAGCATCTCCTTGAGACTGATTTTAGGGACTCTACATCATAGGGCGTGTCCAGACGAGCGCTCATTTTCCTGTTGCAGCATCTCAAAGCAGTTTGAGATGCTGCACAAGGCACTCTGGGAACAAAAAAATGCAGTGCAGTCTCTAAATTTGATACCGGGAAATCCCGGTATAAAAAAATACCCACAGAAAAAAAGTGACGCAGGGAACGTTACATTCCAGGACCACGCTCTGAAGCAACCAAAGGCTTAGCCATCCAGAGAGATGCTCTAGCATCTGGGAGCAGGGCAAGGCTGCGGTGTGACCTGGACCCAGGCACCATCCCCAGTGAGTAGGGATGTGGGGGTCAGGGTCACGGTTTGTGAGCCCCAGTCAGGGGCTTCCCAGGAATGGCATGGGCATCACTGGGGTCTGGGCACAGGCAGAGCAAGCAGAACAGCAGGGGCTGGCACTGCTTAGAGCCACAAAGTAGCAGGTAGAACAGCTGAACTTGTGTCCTGGTGCTGGGATGGAGTTGCTGTCAGGAGGGAGCTAGCGAGGGGCAGGCAGGCAGGGTCAGGAGTGAGGGGCACTGGGGGGATGCTGTGGGTTGAGAGTGAAGGGCAAGGCCAGGGGCAGGGCACCAGCATATCGGTGCTGCTCAGCACCCCACATCCTGGTGAGTGAAGGGAGTGGGGGCAGCTCTAATTTTTCTACCATACAAAAAGCAAAAGCAAATGCCAAAGTGTATAGATATTTATAATTTGTTTATTATGATGATAGAAGCACTGGTAGGCTTCCAGATTCCTTTAAAATTGTAAATATATCAATAAAACATTGCCCAACTGATCTCTCTCTATATAGTGGTGTTTCACTTTAATCACAAAAAACCACAGATTTGGGGTATTTTAATGAGAGAATTTAGGTTTTTTATCAGAGAATTTGCAAGTTTTAAACAGGGAACACCAGGATCTCTGCTGGTGAGACAAGTGTTGAGACCCGGGCACAGGAGCCTGCCCAGGGCCAGCACTGAGGACCCAGCTGGAGGGCAGACAAGAAGCTACTCTAGGTTAGGGCTGCTTTAGCAGTCCAGTTGGCACAAGGGACTAGTGTCCCCAGATACCACCTGGCAAGGCCTCAGAAGCTCCTGAGGGCAAGTAGCTCTGAGCTGCTCACCAGGGCAGGGTTTTATACTGCCGGTACCAGCACAGGTGCTGGCCGCAGTCTCTAGCTCCACCTGAAAGAAGAGCTGGGCAGGGTCAGTTTGCCTCAAATGGCATGTGTTCAGGCACGTGCCGAGGTACAAATCTCTGGCACAAATTTGTGCTGCTGCTGTTTCTGCTGCTGCAAGTGCAATGGGCTGCATGTGCGGACACTCTAATAGTTCCCAGAAGTAGTTAAATACTTATTACTGGAACTGGCTAAAAGGTGGAAAGTTCTGTTTTTTGAAAATTTTCAAAATCTGGTTCATCTCATAGGAAAACAAAAACACAATTTTTGCAGAGCTGTAATTCAAAAAAACTGTCATTAAGAAAACATTGAAATGCTCCACTTTGCATCTTTTATTTTCTGTTAA